TTTTTTTTTTAGTAATTCTAATGAACATTTACAGAGAATTTGGATTTCCATTCATTCATCGCTGCACTTCTCTACCCGCCTAGCCCTCTCCCCCCACCCCCTAGTTCACTCCTCTCTTTCAAAAGTAAAAGAAAGACTCCCTCCCTAGTACACAATCCCCCCACACCCCTCCCACCACCCCAAGTACATTCCACTATGCAACCTTAATTGCGGACTCTTGTGATAACCATAATACCCTATCATACATCACTTTTAAATTATTCAGTCCCTCATCTGTTTCAGTGCAGTATACACAATTTATCCAGTTTTTCTCAGTCTTACCCCCACCCTGATATCAGTCCCATTGATCTTAACTTTTAAAGACCCGAAAGATCACCTATCCCAGCAAACAGAAATATGCTACCCACCCGATTTTCAGGCACTTCTTTTCCTAAAATATACTCATACTACTTCTTCCAATTTCCCCCTTCTATAAGAGTTGAAAATGAGTACCTCAAAGACAAAAGCAGCATGAAATTGATTTTCAGTTTCTAAATAAATGTATTTCCTAGAGAGTTAAACACAATAATGTCTAGATTCCCCTCACAACTTTTGTCCTTTAGATGTGCTGATGGCTTAAATTCAGCCAACCAGTACTAAAGCATAACAGCATAAACACACTGCATGTGTTAATGTTTATTCCCCTGGTCCATCAGCAATTTCACCACATTTAATTATTTCAGGGCAATAAACACATGCACACACAAATTAAGAGAATAGGCAATACTTTTAAAATTCTGATTAAGAGGAGTTAGTTGGATTATTTAAAAGGTATCTAATGATCACCATGTGCTACAAGGAAGTTATAATTCCCCTCAAAGTATCTGCAGGTGACTACCACCTATCCATTGTCAATGCTACTTGAGTCCTGTGCATAGCTCATATGAAAAGGCACTACCGGGAGAATGTCTTCCAATCCAGGTCTCACATCAAAATTTAAACATGTTCATATTTACCAAATGAAATCTAAACAATGGCCCTTCCTGAGAAAACAGATTCTATAAATTATGTGCATTTTTTAAAAAGCCTAGTTCACTTTTTTTGCTGTACAGAGGTAACTTGTGGTCGCTGTGATGCTAAACACTGTGACACTGATGTGCCAAATGCGGTCATGGTTGCCCATGGTGGACAGTGTTTGGTGGAGCTTTCCGATTAAAACAAGCTTGGAAGCAGAGTGGCATCTCCTTCCGAAATGGCTTGCCTCTGGAAACTCTATTAACTTAGAGAAATGATGTAAGTTATACAAGTGTTCAGGTCTTTCATTCATAAGGTTGCTATGAGTCGTCTATGACTCAACAGCATTTAACAACAGTCACTTCAGGGGAGCCCTGGTAGCCTAATGGTAAGAAGCTGTGCTGCATTCCCAAAGGCACATGGTTCAAATCCAGTAGCTGCTCTGCAGAAGAAGGATGGGCAGTCTCCTCCTATGTGATTAACTGCCTTGAAAAACTCACTGGAGGGTCAGCTATGGGTCAGTTCCAACACTACAGTACACAAGAGTTCGCTTCAGCGTGCTTAAGAGTGGAATATATTCCCATCCTCTCTTAAGATCGTAAAGAAACTGAGAATGTTAAAAGCCAAGAACAGAACTGAAAGCTTGCTTTTCTATCTTCTCAAGTCAAATCAGACACATCATAACTATTTCAGGCTACATGACTAAATCTCGCTGAGCTGCTCAAGTCAATCAGTGAAAAGAAAAAGTGGAGACATTAGATTACAAATAAAAATAAATTAAGTGATTCAAACAAGGTCACCAGAATGTTTCTTAAAAATTAGTCATTATACTCTGCCAGAGAACAAGAAATGTACACATCGAGATCCTGGATATTAACGAGCAAGATAGTGAGGCTCTCTGTGGAGACCTTATAGTTATAAGATTGAAGATGGACTGATATCTTTAATAGGAAGCTCTGGTGGCCAAGTGATAAGGAGCTGTACTGCCAATCCGAAGGCAAGCAGTTCGCATCCACTAGCTGCTTTCCGAGGGAAGGATGGGCAATCTCCTCCTGTGCAATTAACTGCCTCTGAAAACCTGCTGGAGGGTCAGCTATGGGTCGGTTCCAACTGGATGATACATTATAACAACAATACTTTTGATGTTTAGAACAACTAAGCTTTTTTTTTATTTTAGAGTAACAAATGATTTTTTTTCTTATTACCTAAAATAACATTTACATTTTATTAAAATTAAACAGAGTGGTGTAGTTCATCGACAGCAACCCCACTAAACTCTGGTAGCTCCACCTCACAGCAGTTCCACAGGAGAAAGATGGACAATCTTTTCTCAGGCGATTTAAAGTCTCAAAAACTCAATGGAGGGTCAGATACAAGTTGGTCCCAAGTCTATGACAACGAGTTTGAAGGGTTGTGTTGTCGTTGTTTTTAAATAATAGACATAAGCCACTTACAATGTGTATCCTTGCCACGTCCAGGTCACAGTATCCTACAATGAAAGTACGTGAACTGTTAATCCAAAGAAAAATTTACTAGATAAAACAAAGATCTTACTATAATGTTTGCATTAACGTACTTTTTCCGAAATAAAAAAGTCAGTAGACATGGAATCAGTATTAAACAACAGTATCAATTGGTATTGGTATTAATAAACAGTTATTTAATCTCTGACTACTTAGTTTGATATTGCTGTTGCTATGAGCTCTTTAGTCCAAACTGACTTACAGGTGACCCTCCAGTGGGTTTTCAGAGGCTGCAAATGGCATGGAGGAGACTGCCCATTTTTCTCCCACAGAGCAGCCGGTGGATTCAAATCACCTGTTTTGGGGTTGACTGCACGGTTCCTTACCATTTAGCTCACCAGAGTTTCCTATATCCACGAAGAAAAAAAATCTGTCTTCCTTTTTTAAATGGAAGGCAATAGCATTGACATTTTAAATAATAAACAATTGCTGTGTATGCTGAATTATTTTTATTCCTAAGGGAGCTCTGGTGGCCTAGTAGTAAGAAGCTGGGCTTTAATTCCAGTTCAAATCCACCAGCTGCTCTGCAGGAGAAAGGTGGGCAGTCTCCTCCTGTGCGATCAACTGCCTTTACAAATCTACCTGAGGGCCACCTGTGGGTCAGTTCCAACACGAGGGTACACATCAACCATGACAATGTGAACACATGTTGATGACTTACGGGCTTACAAAGACCAGAAGGTATCTTTATTTTTTTTTTTAGAAAATATTAAAAGAGTTCATTAACAAAGAATTTGAAACCATGATACTTCAAACCCATAGGCAGAAGTACAAAAAGTAAATGTTTCATGGACTTTAACACTTTTATAATTTTTTATTGGTTTGTTTACAAAGCTTGTATACATTGTGTTTCACACTATTCTTCCTTCTCACTGTGTAGAAATTGTTGAATGGTATGTGTTTTGCTGTGTATATTCTCAACAACAGAATAAAAAGGATTCATCTTTTATCATTTTTAAATTTTATTTACTTACTTCTTTTTGCTGTTGTTGAGAATATACACAGCAAAACACATACTGTTCAACAATTTCTACATATGTCATTCAGTGGCACTATTTTTTAGGTTGTACAATATTCTCACCCACCTTCTTCTCCATTAACATAATCCCATTGCCCCCTAAACTGGCATCTAGTTTTCAAGTTGTTACTATCTATTTGATCCTATAGAGACAGTCAATCAAGGAGCACAATGCTATTGGGAGGGTAATACAACCTGGGAGGTACTCAGTCCATAAACCATCCAGGATCACAAGGACAGTACTTTATGAGGGATAAATCCAAGAGGGAAGAATGCAAATGAGAACCATGAGGAGGTGTTGTTGTTGTTGTTATGTGCCGTCGAGTTGCTTGCGACTCATAGCGACCCTATGTACAACAGCCCTAAACTCCGCTCTCTCCTGTGCCAATCGCACTGTCTCTGACACTCCCATATTGTGGAAATTGTAACCAATGTTAGAAAGTAAAATAAGGATGAATGGTTTTGTAAATTTTTACTCAAGTCACAATAAAAGTTGGGGGGGGGAAGAGCAAAGTGTCTGGGGTTTAAAGAACTCTTAAATTTTAAATTCTCATGGAATCCAGACTTTCTGGAGCTGAGGCTAAATTTTAAACCAAAAATAACCCCTGAAATCTTCTTTAATTCCCCCCTTTTTCACGCCCTCTCCATCAAAGAAGTTCATGGTCGAGAGACTAGCCACTAAGCAAAAAGTGAAATTGAACAGAAACTCTGGAGCCTCTATAAACAGTTGATAATAATTTTGTAATTGCTCTCCAGTCAATCCTGATTCGTGGAGACTCTAACATGTAGGGAACTATGCTCTACAGGATTTTTCAGCGGCTCGGAGTTCAGAAGTAGAGTCCCGGGCCTTTGTTCTGAAACAAGGCAGTCTGATGGTGCACTTCCTGTGGAACTGTGTAAGTTAGTAATCCAATGGTAAAGGCTGTGCCCCTCTGACTGCTCAAATCCACCAGAGCATCCGAGCAGGAAGAGTGGGCAATCTACTCCCCTGTGATGTTCAGCCTCCAAAGACCTCCGAGAGGGTCACATATGAGTCAGATCCATTGAGAATTGACTGCAATGAGAAAGAGTCCTTCTGAAACATCTCTGGAGGGACCAACTTTCGATTAAGCAGCTGAGCATATTAACTGTTTGCACCACCCAGAGGTTGGTTTTTTGGTTTTGTTTTTGTTTTTTTTTTTTTAAAAAAGAGAGTTGGACAATGACCAAGGAGGATAGAAGGAGAACTGATGTCTTTGAGCTGTGGTGCTGGAGAAAAGTATTGAGGGTACCATGGACTGCTAGGAAAACAAACAGATTCATCCTGGAAAGGGTTAAACCGGGTGGCTCCTTGGAGGCAAGGATTGTGGGGCTTCGTCTGACATACTTTGGACATGTTGTGAGGAGAGACCAGTCTTTAGAGAGGGACATCATGCTTGGGAGGGTGGAGGGACAGCGCAGGAGGGGAAGACCCTCTATGAGGTGGATTGATTCAGTGACTGGGGTAATCAGGATGGGAGTGTCAGAGACAGTGTGATTGGCACAGGACAGAACAGAGTTTAGGGCTGTTGTACATAGGGTCGCTATGAGTCACAAGCAATGGCACATAACAACACCACCACCACTACCCAGAGACTTCAATTAAAGATTCCATCTTGCCTTTCTTGTCAATTGTCCAGTAAATAAAGTTCTTAGCAGAACCAAAAGCAGTTCTCCCTCAAACCAACAAAACGTCTTTAGGAAAATGGTGGTGGCAACAATGCTCTCAGTTGAGCAGGGAAAATCTACTCCCTGAGCTAACCCAGAACGTTAGATACTATGTTAAGTTCTTCAGACACTGTTTGCTTTAGGTAAGCTACTTGCCAATGATCCCAGTTACAAAGCACTGAACCCCTAATTAAATCACTATCTCATAGTGACAATGTATGGTTTCCTCTGGATTAGACAGAAATCCCAAATTGAAGTTTTCTAACATCCGTTCTAAGAAGCCCAAGTCGGAGGCTTCATCACACCATTATAGTGACAACAGCATGAACAGTAAAGGAAACCAATCATAGATCACATCCTAAATCTTCCTAGTAATGAATCAATACTTAATCAGCATTAATAAATATGTTCCTAGTTTGTAAAAATCTAATAGCTAATTGTGGCAAACCAAATGGGCCAACCTGCTCGTTTTTCTATTCATACTGGGTTCAAGCATTAAGAAGAGTGGTAGGAAATCTGTGGAGTTTGGGATTCTTATACAGTAAAATACATGCTTACCAGTTTATTTGGGTATCTGAGGAGTATTGGCTGCACTGCAACTCCAGGAATGAAAGCTCCTGGAAATGATAGGACATGCTGTTTATTTTAGTGAAAGTTATACTACAAAAGGGGAAAATATATATAACTATAGTATATATGTATAAATATATATATATATAAGTATAAAAATATAGATAAACATATATAGCTATTTTTTTTTCTTTCTTTTTTTCCCTTGTTGCGTTATCATCAAATCAGGTCTGGCTGGCACAGAAGGAGACTGACCCTCCTTCTCAGCAGAGCATCTGGTGAATTTGAACTGCGCACCTTTGGGATTGCAGTGCAGCTTCTTGCCACTAAGCCACCAGAGCTCCCTGACAGTAGCTATTTTAAGAGTACAAGAAACCATTTGCCACAGGTTAATAAATACATTACCAGCATTTGCCAAAGTCAGGAATTTATAAAATTCAGAATTACTTGGGCCAAAATTTAAATGCTGTGCCTGTGTCACTTAAAATATGTGTCTATACCGCCACTTCTTTTTACTTTCCAAGTATTAGTGTTAAATAGGCTTCTTTAAAAAAAAAAAAAGAAGAAGAAGAAGCTGGGAAGAGAAAAAGATCAAAGTAAGGAGAAAATCAAACACGTGATGCAAAGACCACTGATGGAGGTGAGTTACACATTTGGCTCTGAGTATTTCAACAGTCAACACAAAAACATTTAGAAAGATAACAAATTACTAGGAAGACTCCATAATGTTCAGAAGTGAATCTTAGAAGGCATCTCATCACATTATAAGGGTAATGACATAGGATTATTACTAGGTGCTACAGGACCTCAAAATCTGTAAGGATGTCTTTTGAGCAAAAAGAAAAACCTTTCAGTGGTTTCTGCCTCAAACCCCAGTTGATCCATGTACACAGGGGAGGGGACAGGAGACTCCAGAGAAGATGAGTTTATAATGTGAAAAGGAAAAAAGTACATGGTTTCACAGGGTCTATCAAAAAAGAAAAGCAACCTTAAAACGAATTCTGCATATTATTGTGAAATCATTTAAGAAATGATTGAGAAATCTCCCATACTGATGTGTCACAAGAGAACTGAATTTATCTCACCTGGTTTAAAAGTAATCAAACAGGAACGATTAGTACAGGTGCCTTCTGGGAACACTATTATCTTGGGAGAAAAGGAATAGATTTAATACGTCAATCTAATTAACAGTTTACCCCTTTACTTTCTTTCTTACGACTTTAAACAAGTTCTTTAAAGACATGCAAAAATGTAGCAGAAAGCCAACACATGAGTCCTCTGAAAGTCACTTGTCATTCAGTTTTCATGTAAAGAAATGTAGTCTAATTAATCAGCAAACAGATTTGAGCCTTGAATAGAGGTTAAATTTTTTTTTATTGATGATACTAATGATCTGTAAAAACTTAAAAGGTCTATAAAAACTCACGGCATGCTCAAAGTTTACACGGAATTCTTTTGTGTGCAATAAGGCATCCTCAATCAAATCACTTAACATATTTTTGCTAAATGATATTCACTCCAAAAATGTTTAGCATTGTTTAGCAAACAGAGGAGGAAACAGTTTGCTTTATGCTTGCTTGAATTAATTCACACATGGAACATAGCATAATAGCTTTTGTTAGGAAGTGTTTTCAGCCCTTAACCTGGGTCTTGTGTCTTCCATGCAAGAGCTAAGCAGTGCAGTTAGTTTCCCTAATAAAAGAATTATACAGCATCTAGATCTTATGAAGCTTTTAGGACTGAGCAATGAGTAAATAAAGAAGCATATAAAATTAAAAAAAAAATTGGGGGAGCTCTGGTGGCCTAGTGGCAAGGAGCTGCAACTACAATCCCAGAGGCACACGGTTCGAATCCACCAGATGCTCTGCCGGGAAAAGGAGGAACAATCTCCTCCTGTACCAGTCAGATCTGATTTGACGGTACACTCACACAAAAATAAAAAAAAAATTAAAAAAAGAATAAAATCTCTGCCCTCATAGCAGCTAATAACATATTTTAAAGAAAAAAAAATGTTTAGTCCAAATTGCCTTCAAAACTAGCTGTAAACTAAAAATAGGTATAATCCCAACTTTCAATTTTAAAAAAGCAAGACTTTATCTGACAGTAAACCCTAAAACAAACCCTGATTCCCACTCACAACAAGCTACCATGAAGCTTCCAAAGCTGTATATCTTTATATACAGGGAAGATTGCCCATCTTTCTCCCAAGGAGCAGCTGATGGATTTGAACTCCTTGCCTTTGGGTTGGCAGTGCAGCTCCTTAACCACTTAGGCCACCAGAGCTCTTTCTCTCTCAGGAAGGAGGTGGAAGAGGACAAGTGGATAGATTTTAACCCATTTTGCTCAGTTTGAGGAAGATCTTTCGGTTCAGAAGTAGAACGATCTGCTTTCTATGGCTCTAAAAGTTGGACAACAAATGAAAATGACAGAAGCGCAAGTGATGCCTTTGAATTGTGGTGTTAGAGAAGAGTACTAAGTATTCCACGGACAAACAACTCTGCTTTGAAGGAAGTACAATCAAGTGGCTCCTTAGAGGCAAGGACAGTGAAACTCTGCCACACATAACTTTGGACTTGTCAGGAAGAGGGGAAAGACACTGATGCTCGACAAGGTGGCTGGTCAGTCAAAGAGAAGAAGAACCTCAACAAGACGGACTGAGCCAGTGACTAACAATAGGCTGGAGTACGAGACTGGCACAGGGTAGGGCAAAGGTTCAGATCTGTTGTCCAGAAGGTTCCTGTGAGTCACAGTGGACTCAATGGTACCTAACAACAAACCTTCACACGTGGAGACTGCTCATTCCCCCCTGAGGAGTGACTGATAGATTTGAACAGCTGCTTTTGGTGGTGGGGTTTTGTTTGTTTGTTTTAGGTCAACAGCACAAGGAGGAATGCATTATCCCACCAGTGCTATTCCACATGGTACTAGGACACAATAAGGGAACTCTGGTGGCGAAGTGGTTAAAGAGTTGTGCTGCTAACTCAAAGGCATGCAGTTCAAATCCACCAGCTGCTCTGAGGGAGAAAGATGGGCAATAAGCTCCCACGTGACTTCTTCCTTCTGGAAACCTGCCAGAGCATCAGCTTATGACTCATCTCCAACTCAACAGCATATAACAACAGGATAGCATCTACGATGCCAAATAGCATTTAGTTAATAACAGCTACATTATTTACAATATGTAATAGAAGGAATCATACAATGTTTAAGAGGCATTAAAAGTCACACAGATTACAAACCAATACAAACTTTTTTTTAAGTCATGTAGCAGCTATATATAATTCTTGTTATAAAAATTAGAATTCTTTCTGCAATATCCCACCCCCAACTAGTTGTTTAGCCAACACTCAAATATTCCAGAAAAGGAATCCACTTCAGACCATTCTACTTCAAAACAGAAGCTGTGCAAAATAGACTAACATCGAAAATCAATCTGTTCTCTTCCACCTTCCACTCCTAGATATACTCTTCAGATACCAAGAGTAAAGAAATAAAGCTAGCTCTTTGCAGTCATTCTTCACATGTGGTGTTTCCTAAAGCCTCCTCGTTGGCCACAGTTCTCTGAGTAAGGTCCCAGCTACATGTCACCACGGTGGTCCAATCACTGAAAGGCCATTATTTACACTAGAGGTTAAAAGGGCAGAGAGACACTAATGAGAATTACCCATGAGACCGTCTTTATACAATAAATGCTGTCCCTCCAGTACTCTCAACATTCTGTACTATAAAGTCATTCCAAGGGAAAGAGGGTCATGAGATACCACTTGGAAAAGTTCCACGGGTGATTTTGGGATGGCCCTGAATTGAAAAGCCCTATTTAAATAGAAGCTCTTGGTGGTGTTGAGGGCAAATGACCAGACTTCTAACTAAAAAGTCAGCAGTTTGAATTCACCGCTGCTCCATGTACGGAAGATGGGCCATCTCCTCTAGTAAAGACTTGCCATCTTAGACACCCTAAAGAAGTTTGCTAAAAGTCAGAACTGACTCAAAGACAGTGGGTCTGAGGTGGTAGTTTTAGGGGATTCTAGAGCTATCTAGATCTACTTCAGTCAGGATGTCAGTCTAGGGACTAACGTGCCCCTGATCCAGTCTACGGCCTTCACAATGAATTGCTGTGCATCAGAGAGCTGGCTAATAGCCAAGGATGATAGAAGAAGAATTGATGTCTTTGAGTTCTGGTGATGGGGAAGAGTCTTGAACATATCATGGACTGCCAAATAAATAAAAAGATTTGTCCTGGATAGGGTGAGACCAAGTTTCTCCTTGGAGGCTAGGATTTTGAAGCTTCGTCTCACTTACTTTGGGCATGTGGCCAGGAGGGATTGATCCTTGGAGAAGGACATCATGCTCAGAACGGTGGAGGGATGGCGCAAGAGGGGAAGGAAGATCCCAGATGAGATGGATTGATACAGTAACTAGGGAAATGGGGGTAGGTGCGTCCTGAAGCAGTCTCATTGACTGGTTCAGGACAGCTCAAGCTTCGGAGCTATTGTATATACAGGGTCACTATGAGTCACAGGCAATTTGACAGCACATAACAACAACAAGATTAAAGATCTGATGGTACACAACAACATCATATCATTGAATTCTAGTGGCCTAGTACTAAGAAGCTGAGCTACAATCTCAAAGACATGTGCTTCAAATCCACCTGCTACTGTATTGGAGAAAGATGGGTAATCTCCTCATGTACAATTTACTGCCTCTGAAAATTGACTGGAGGGTCTGCTATGGGTCAGATCCGTCTCCACAGCACACAACAACAACAACAACAATATATCATCTTTAAAATAGTAGTTTGATTCAACTGTAGAGAATACTTTTTTATGTCATACAAAGTAAAAAGTGGCTCAGAGTTGGAAGGGAAAAAAATTACACATTTACAGCTAAAGAACATCACATGGGGAAGAGGACCACCTGGTACTTCCTGGATTCTGCATCTATTATGCTAACAGAGCCCTGGTGGCCTGGTGGGTAAGGAACTGGGCTGCCAACCCAAAAGCACATGATTCAAATCCACCAGCTGTTCTGTGGGAGAAAGATAAGCACTCACGTCCCACATTATTTACAGCTTCTGAAAACTGGCTGGAGGGTCAACAATGAGTCACTTCTGACTGGAAGGCACATAACAACATTACGCTAAGGAAACCTGGCACAGATGTCCGATACCTTGTTCTTGCGGGATGCAAATAAATAAGTGGTTACAATATTACAATAAGAAGCTTCCAGGATATTAAAATGGAAATGTCCTGTGTGTTACCTGGGGCCATTCCCCTCCCGAAGTTGCTCGTTTGATTATTTCATTTATTGTGGTTTTCCGAGAATCTGGATCTACACGGGACACCAACACTGGCTGTAAAGCCCGCAACAGTCCTTTAAAACAAATGAAAAGAAAAAGGTTGCTATTTTTGAACGTAAAGCTATCACGGTAATGATACAAGGTAAACTACTTAATAAATGTAATAAGAAATTAAAGTAATAACCTATTTTTAAAAGCAACTTTCTAAATAGCCCTCCAATTTAAAGTTCATTTGAACTTAATTTCCAGTTTCCAAAAGGGAAGTATCTGTACCTAGGAACATTTCAGCGATTTAACAAAAACAGCAAGAACATGAAAAGATGTAAATGCAATTTTCTCTCTCACAGTTTTCCTCTCAACTGCGATTAGCCCTTTGGAATGTATTACAAGGTTTCATCGTGCCTTATTGATGGAATAGTGTGAAAACAGTACAGAAAATACAGGGAGAAATTATTTATTATATTAAAATTTACAGCATAACAGTGTTCTGAATAGGTAGCTTTCTAGGGTGTGCAAATTAAACCTCAACTTACAAAAATGAGCTGCTACACAACGTTTGAGGAAATGGTCATATTACACAAAACAAGGAAGTTACTTTTGTTTCCCTGCTTGTTTAAAATGCCCTTCTTAGCCTAATGGCAAAGCTGCAGGAACTAACACCAGCTCTCCAGAGTGTCAAGCAACAGGAGGAACTTTCACAGTCACCCTTCCACCACCTGATGTTCGCGGGAGCCCTGGGACAAGTGCGAGCTGTTACTTGGAGATGGGCACCTTAGGGAGAGACCAAAGCATCATGTGGGAAAAACACTTTACTTGCTTCGTTCTCCTTTTTATAGCAGAAAGCCCTTGTTCTCCGCATCCTACTTTCAAAGTGCTACACGCTGGTCCCTTATGGAAATTTGGGGATGATAATAAAGAAAGCAGAGTTAAGATAAAAGGCTTGGTGCCTTTATCAGGATAGTGATTTAGAAGGTAACCTATTGCCTGAGTTGAACAGAGTTAAGATAAAAGACTTGGTGCCTTTATCAGGATAGTGATTTAGAAGGTAACCTGTTGCCTGGGTTTTTTCACACATTCTTTGGATATATTACCTCTAAAAAGAAATTAAGTATGTTTAGTACTTTAAACTGACCTTTCTGGTCACATTATAAGACATGATGTCACCCTGATAGAAGTTTTTAAAGGAGTTTAAGAGTACAGACAGGGAAACCTCTAATAGTTTTTCATAAATGCATTCTTTCTATAGAGTTTCACAGGAAAAAGAGAAAGTACGTTTGAAATGTTTTATCATTTTTAAATTTTTTTAAATATTTTTATTTATTTATTTTTCATTTCAATGAACATCTACAGAGATTTTGGAATTCCATTCATTCATTGTTGCACCCTTCTCCCCGCACAAACCCCTCCCCCCACCCCACCCCTGTTTGCTCCTCTCCCTGAAAAGCAAAAGAAAAACTCCCTCATTGGTACACAATCCCCCCCGCACCTCCCCCAATCCCTCCCCAACCCCAAATATAATCCACTCTGCAACCCTTATTGCGTACTCCTACGATAAACATAATGCCCTAAAAACACTGGCTATGATTCTGAAATCTAAAGAGTGAGAGAGCATGCAGGCGCTTGGTTACTTACGGCCAATGAGAGGGGCGTGTGCGTTCTCGTTCCGAGACACCATGGAAGGTAAGCCGGCGACGACGCAGGCAATCCCATCGAAAAAGGAGGAATGAGGCGCCACAACGAAGATGGGTGCTTCCAGGGGACTGGCAATCTTTCCTTTCACAGTTACTACAAATCCCATAGAGAAGAACATGGCACGGCCCAGAAATTTCAAAACGGGCTGAGTAAATTTCCTTTGGAAAGAAATATTAAACATATTAAAAGAAATATTAAAAAGAAAATTAGCTTTGCTAACTGAAGCTAACCACAAACATTTACTATAAAATATAATAAGAGAATCAAAACATGCCAGAACACTTTCTTTTAAAATACGCTAAGAAGAATGGCTAAGCTTACTCTTTCTCCCAGGAACTGACTTAAATACTTTAAGTACATTATTTAATACTCAGTACAATCTTATAAAGTAGATTTTACTATTATAGTCCTATTTTACAGATAGGGAAACTGAGGTTCAGAGAGGTTTGGGTAATTTGCCCTAGGACACAGTAAGTGACTCTATTGTTCTGTTATGATAAAGTGGTAAGAATGTGTTTTTAACACAGCTCCCTCCCTCAGGGAGACAATCAAATGAGTCTTGCCATTCAAAGTAGTCACCGATTCTCATTGGTTCGTGAGAATCAGTATCTGTTGTTGTTGTTAACTGCCATTGAGTTGAGTACAACTCACAGTAAGCCTATGAACAACAGATCTGAACCCTGTCTTATCCTGTACCATCCTCATCATCCATCCTGACACACTTCACTCCACTTCCACAGCCACTGTATCAATACACCTTGTTGAGGGCACCAACGGACATGGACAGTGCACCATCTTTGCCAGGGAGCAGTAAAAGCACCAGACAGATGGTGGATGCCAACCAAGGATGGCCAGAGCACCATCTTCACCCTGGGGCACCCAGACAGAGAGCGGGTGACTGGAACCTGGATTATCCTCTCCAAGAGAAATCAATAGTCTCAGTCAGGGCCTGCTGACTTCTGCTCACTCACTTGTTTTTATGTTTTTGCTGTGGTATAGTCACACAATGGAATACTATGCTGC